GCTAACAGGAGGTTAATATGGAGGCTACCAGGAGGTTAATATAGAGGCTAGCAGGAGGTTAACAAGGAGGCTAGCAGGAGGTTCATATGGAGGCTAGCAGGAGGTTAATATGGAGGCTAGCAGGAGGTTCATATGGAGGCTAGCACAGAGGCCAGCAGGAGGTTAATATGGAGGCTAGCAGGAGGTTAATATGGAGGCTAGCAGGAGGTTAATATGGAGGCTAGCAGGAGGTTCATATGGAGGCTGTGGAGAATTATCCTTTTTCCATTTAGGTAAGGTAATTTGGTAACACTTTATTTGAAGGGGTGTGCATAAGACTGACTTGACACTGTTATGAACATGACATAAAATCTGTCATGAACATAAAGAAGTCTTTATGAATGTTTATTACAGTTCTCATGAAGCGTCCTTTGTTAAATGACACTTTTAATACAACGTTGCTCTAAAAGTTGCATTGAAAGTCAATTAAAAGTACCAACTTTGCCTTAAATTATAATTTATAAAATCATGCAAAGCCTATCATCTGGTTATCAAAGCCTAGCCATCCAAACCCTGCCCTAACCCTAGCCCCCCTCTGCACATGCCTGATAATAAACATTTCCACATATCATCTCCGATATCCACCAGACTGTCAGTTGCGCTAAAACAGAAACAATTAAAGAATAAAGATGGTAACATCGTGTACCTTCTTCACATCATACAATAAAAGTTTCCTCAGTATCATTTTATTGGCAGACGATGGGCATTATGTCATTCATAATCTTTACCATATCTCCAAAAACTTGTGAGCACAAATTAAAAAGCATGGCATTAATATTACATTTTATTTGGAAAACAGTCAGAGGTCATGATATTTTCTTCTGCCTCAACTTTGTAATTTTGATCTTTACAAAGTACAAACGTAGCAGACAGTTTTATCAAGTTATTCGTTACCAAATCAACCATTTTGTTGCACAACATCAGCAGGAGATCAGAGGAATAAAGTTTATTTTTACAATGATGAAAATGAGATTGTGTGGTTCTTGTCCAGCTGGGGTCGTCTGGACTCTGAAGAGCAGTGAGAAAGAGATGCTGAGTTTTAGGTTGTTGGAAAGTGGAACTTCAGGAAGAATCAGGCTGATCTTACTTGAAATGAAGATTATCTTCCGTCGGGGGAGAAATGCAGTGGGTTCGGTCTTTGTAGGTGTCCTGGAAGTGGTCCGGGTTCCAGTGTGAGGTCTTCTGTGGTTGGTGGAGAAGCTGCGGTGGAGGGCGGACAGGTAAGTTCAGGTGAGGAGCAACAAGGAGCGAACCGACTGCCAGCTGAGAATCCAGGAACAGTTTCTGATTTATCTGCAGGGGCGAAGAAGGGACTCGGGCAACCGGTGGGCAACAATCCACGGCGTCACAGGGAAACACCTGAGAGAGAAGCAACAAGAATAAATTACTAAAAGCAACTTCAGAGAAAACACAGAGCCAGCTCAGAGGGGCAGAGCAGCCAGTCCTCCTCCCAGATGATCACATGATGAGTCACATGTGCGTAGATGGAGCCTCTTGGCGCCATCTAGTGGAAGGAGAGGGAAGCAGCAGGCAACAGAAAACCCCCACAAAAGGACCAAACCTCAGTTCCCAGAAACATTTTCACGTTTGTCTCTCGGGTTCTTTGTAATCCTGACTTAGAAGGCAAAAGATAATATTCTACATGACAGAAACATTTACTAGTGATTTTTATTTGAACTCATGAGTTGAGGTGTGAATATTTTTATCCAGGTTTTTCTGCTGTGAAAGAGAAAAAAAAAATCCTTGTTGGAGACGGAAAATGTGGATTTCTAGAAGTTGTGGCTCTGATATAAATATAAAATGTTCCTGCAGGTTTTCCTCAGTAATGGCAGCATTAAGCAAATTATTGGGAGCTGCTGGTGCAGATCGCTGCTACCGTTTCCATGCAAACGCAGAAACTTCATGCAAAAACACTCAGGAGGTCAGGAGAGGAACGAGACGTTTTAACACAGGGAGGAAAAAAACCTCAGATTCAAATTTAACTCATTCAGCAGCAAATTCCATCCAAACACAAAAGAGAAAACCGGATTGGTTGTTAGTTTTAGTTCACATTTAGAGTTCCCGATTTTCACCTCATTTAGCTGAAATTCAACCAGATTCAATCCGATTACATCTGGTTCCTGTTGGTTCCTGTTGGTTCCTACTGGTTCCTGTTGGTTCCTGCTGGTTCCTACTGGTTCCTGTTGGTTCCTGTTGGTTCCTGCTGGTTCCTGTTGGTTCCTGTTGGTTCATGTTGGTTCCTACTGGTTCCTGTTGGTTCATGTTGGTTCATGTTGGTTCCTGCTG